TGTGTGTGTGTGTGTGTGTGTGTGTGTGTGTGTGTGTGTGTGTGTGTTTTGATCATTCCTCAACCAGTCTTTTGCAGCTCCTGTCCCAGCTTTTTTGGAAAATGTTGCTGGTATCAAATTCAAAATGAATGAGTTTTTGCAAAACACAATACCGTCTTTTGTTTGAACATTAAATATCTTGTCTTTGCAAATCATTGTATTCTGTTTTTATTTAAGTTTTACACAACGTTCCAACTTCATTGGAATTGGGGTTGTACTTCAGCAATCAACAGGCAAGAAGTGGGGTACAAACTAAACAGGTCACCCACTGATTAATGACACCATTTAATTAATGACATCCAGTACAGACAAACGTGTACTCACACTCACACTGATGATCAACTTAAAATCTCCAGTTTGGAGGAATCTGTGATTTCTTGAGAAAGGCCACACATGTACAGAGGACATGCAAACTCTACGATCCAAACCAGGATCTACATCCCCCGAGGCTAACTGCGACCCCACCATGCAAAACTTGATGGTCCAACAAATTCGCATTACTGCTTCTCAACTAAAAATTGCAAAACATATCAGGATTTCTTCACATCAACATTGCATTGGCTTAGGAAAAAATTGGAGAACAGAAACACATGTGATTGAGTGAAAAAACAYCACACAAACAGAACCGATCTTTGAGCCTGAGATCATTCAAAATAAGGAACATCTGTAAAAGCACAATGATGCTGAAGGATGGAAGCAACTGGTTCCACCAACCAATAATTGGAATTTCTTGGTTCTGAAGACAATWACAAACCAATTTCTAAATGTATTACAACAATGTAGCTCTGTTTAGGTTTCAGCAGAATTGTTCAACAGTGAAAATCTTACAAATAATTGGGGYAGGAGAGGAAGAACTACTCTATATTATTATAATGTAAGTAACAAAAGAACAAATTGGTGAAATCGCCAATTCTTTGCCACAATTGTTGCTACATCTTACCTCAGTTTGTCAGCTACAAAGATGACTCGGCGCTCCAGTAGCAGCGAGGCAAAGACACGTATCACTTGTCGTACACTCAGGCATTTGAACAAACTGTCAAAGTCCACGTGCTCCAGTCTGGAGTCTGTGGGCCGCCTCAGCTCGATGACCTGAAGCAGCACAGAAACAGATAAATCGTAGTAAGCTAATTCTCCAAACARGTCTCCTGTTATGTTGCAGCATTATGTAACGGTCACATCGATAAAAGCAGCTCTGACCTCATTTCCTGCACCAGGCAGGAAGGTTTTCACTTTGATAATCTTCCCCGGAGCAGGAAACGGAGACTCCATCAAGCTCCTCATGAAGGGATAAACCAGCGCTGCTGAGATGCCTCTCCGTCGTTCCACCTCGTCCAGGATCTGAACACGAGAGGAAAGAGCTCWGCCTATTACATCATATCAACAGACGGATTTTACCGACTAGGATTGATGGGAACATGCTGACACGCAGCACTCTCAGCTGTCTGGAGCTTCGTATTTATTTTCTGTCTTAAAAAACAGATAATAAATCTGTTTCCCTGCCTAATTTATTGGAAAATTCCACCCAGCYTGCCAGATTTGATCCAAGCTGCCTCCAGTCTGGAAAACTGATAGGGAAAATAATTCAGTTCCAAGGTCATATGGTTCCTCCTCTTCCTTTCTGTCCTACATAACTTCATCTAAACCAGGGGTCTGCAACCTGCGGCTCGGGGGCCACATGTGGCTCTTTGGTCCCTCTGCAGTGGCTCTTTAAAAATGTGACATAACTGATATATACAGCG